ACTATGCCGCCAACCTCTATACAGAAAATGTAAACTTTACTGAGAGAATTTTTAGACCTGAATACATAGAGAGATACACCATATCTATGGAATTTAAAAGACTCAACATTGGCAACATTTCAACTCTTCCAAAAATGAATCAAAGATTCAGCATAACCCCAATAAAACTCACTAGTCGTTTATTTATGGGACTTAAGAAGCTGATGCTAAAATTTATAAGGAAACAAAAGATCAACAAGAATAGTCATAACAATATCTACAAGAAAAATATGAAAACATTTATTCATAAAGACATATGTACCCCTATGTTTATTGCAGCATTATTCACAGTGGTCAAGACATGGAAACAACCCAAGTGTCCTTTGACGGATGATTGGATAAAGAAGATGTGGTACATACATACAATGAAATACCATTCAGCCATAAGAAAAGATGCAACGCTGGGCCGGCCAAGTGGTGCATTGGTTAAGAGTTGGCTTGGGAGCAGCAGCTCTGAGCAGGAGGGCCGCGGTTCTGATTCCACATTGAGAGCCAATGATGCTCGCCCTCTACAGCTAAGATGATGAACAACAGCTGACCTGGAGCTGGGCTGCTGTGAGTCGCCAGCGATCGTAGGCTGCAGCGGGACTGTAGCGGGCTGCCGTGAGCTACGTGAGTGGCTGGCAGCCAGAGTGGCCAACCAATGACCGGCGACCGATTGCCTCACCCAGGAAGAGTGCAATGATCATACCAACATGGGCCAGTGAAGCGACATCCTCCACAACTAGACTAAAGAACAAAACAGTAATTTGTCTACCTGTCTGTTCCCCTCCCCCAATTCCCCAATAAGATCTTCAAAAAAAAAGAAAGAAAAGATGCAATACTGCCATTTGCAATAACATGGATGGATCATGAGAGTATCATGCTACATGAAATAAGTCAGATGGAAAAGGACAAGAATCATATGATTTCACTCATATGTAAGATATAAAACAGAAAGCAACAAATGAACAAAACAAACAAACAGCTCATTGACACAGACAACAATATGGTGGCTACCAGAGGGGAAAACAGGTGGGGAGAGGTTGAAGAGGGTAAAGGGGGTCAAATATAAGGTTACAGAAGGAGACTAAACTTTGGTTGATAAGCACACAATGCAATATACAGATGATATATTAAAATATTATACAATTGAAACTTAATATTATTTTGGTAACCAATGTCACCCCAATAAATTTAATTATTAAAAAAAAGAATAGCTAGGGCCCCCTCTACAGCTAAGATGCTGAACAACAGCTCGACCTGAAGCTGGGCTGCTATGAGTCGCCGGCGACCGCACAGGCTGCAGCCCCTGCTGCAGTGGGTTTCCATGGGCTACCGTGTGTAGCCAGCAACCAGCATGAGTGGCCAGCAGCCGCTGTGAGAGGCCATCCAGAAGCCAGCGATTGATCTGCCTCGCCCGGGAAGAGCACAATGATGGTGCCAACTTGGGCCAGTGAAGCAACGTCCTCCACAACTAGACTGAAGAACAAAACGACAGCAACTTGTCTGTTCCCCTTCCCCCAATTCCCCAGCACTGTTCCCATCCCTCCAATTCCCCAATAAAAATCTTTAAAAATAAAAAAAGAATAGCTATGATACTCTTGAAGAAGCAAGAACAAGCTGGGAAGACTTATTCTCTGATATCAAGGTTAATAAAATATAGTAATTAATATGGTGTGATATTGACACAAGAGTGGTCAAAAAGACAAACAGAACAAAATAGACAGCCACAAACAGACCTACGCACAAACAGACACTTGATAAATGACAGATGGCACTGCGAAGTAGTAGGTGAAAGGCTGTCTTTTCAATAAATGGTTCTGGAACAATCAATTATATCTGAGAATAAAATGAAATTGTGCTTCTATCTTAAACCATAAAAAAAAAATTCTAAATAGATTATAAACCTAAATGTGAAAGTGAAGACTGAAAAGCTTTTAGAATATCTTCACGACCTCAGGATAGTGAACAATGTCTTAAATTGGATACAAAAAGCTCTAAGGATTGATAAATTCAACTAAATTAATCTTTGTTGAAGATTAGGGGTGAGAGAGAAGATAATGAACCGGATCAGAAAATAACAGCAAAGCTAAAGGTTAGAGAGGTACACCCAAATGGACTGAAATGCCACAAAGTTGTAAAGAAGTGGTCTGAAATGGCAATGAGGATCTAGAAACAGATAGATGATAGACAGACAGACAGATAAAGATAGATATATAGACAGATAGATACAGCCAATTCTCATTATTTGTGGTAGTTACGTTCTATAAAGTTGCTATAAACACTGAGTTAGTGAATACTAAAACACTGATCCTAAGGCGAAATATAGGGTTAGGTTCCTGTGAGCCTGTAGTGACATTTTCACCAATCAATCAATACATAACCTTGTTTTGAGTGTTTCTGTTTAAAGATATCTTATTTAATATACTCACAGCAATAGCAGTACAAATCATGCCTGAATGAAGCTTATCTAACACATATATAATATTTTCTCTGTAAGATACAGCACAGCCTTCTGGCACTTAGCAACATTAGAAAGCACATTAGCACTACCCTTGAGTGACTATTTTAAACAGTAAAATCACCAACAAAAAGCACAAAAATGAGAAAAATATAATAGCACTAAAGAGACGACACAAAAAGACACTTGTTTACAGCATGAGAGACGAGACAGGAAGGTAAAACAGCGGCCTTGTTTGACCTCAACTGGAAACATGTTCATCAGGTGATTCAAATTTCTCACCACTCTGTGCATGTCCTCAAATGACCATGAAAGCACTGTGAGTTTTGATTTGGGGACTACGAATACACTTACTGAGGAAGTGAATTCATAATATGGACTGAGGATCGACTGAACACATATACTCATATGTTCTCTGAGAAGCACCATGTGAAGCTCTGAATGAAACAGGCAAGAGGGGTGCAGGAGCGGTACGTTGCCTAGAGGGACGTGCATTTTGAGGAAACCCCAAGGAACAACAGAGATGAAAGGGATACCGTATTTGCCGGCGTATAAGACGATTTTTTGGCCCTGAAAAATATGCCTCCAAGTGGGGGGTCGTCTTATACGCCAGGTACACTTCAGATAGACTGCCCATAGTGCTTGCCCCGTGCCATAGTGGCCTCCCGATGCCCGCCCACTTCATTCCACATACCGTTCAGGCATCAGCAGCGCTGCTGGGTGTATGCTCGGCTGTTATGCGATTTTGCTGTTATGCAATTTTACCACACTCGCAAAATCGCACACAGCCGACCATACACCCAGTATGATAGCGCAAAATCACGAATCGCGATTTATGTATATGTTTGATTACATACAGCCTTGTGACAGTTTTCCTGCATGTCATAAGCATTTGAATATAAATATAAATGTTGAAATCAAATCTGATATTGTTTTACCTTTTATTTGGTGTGTGGAAGGTGTGCGGAAGAGGGGGTAGTCTTATACGGCGAGTATATAACAAACTCTGTATTTTGAGTGGAAATGTTAGGGGGTCGTCTTAACGCCCAGTCGTCTTATACGCCGGCAAATACGGTATTTGGAATTAACTGACCCCAACATTCCAATGAAAGTCTAGTAAAAAGTTCTTTTGGAGATGTTCATGCTTTGACATACTTGTCTGCCAAAGCATCATAGGACACTGATTATGAGGTCTCGATATGAGGATACAGCCAACATATTCAAACATGGTATCCCAAGCTGTTACTCCCTTAGAATAATTCCTAGAAATGAATGTGGGCTAATGTTTAGCCACAAATAAAGTTGTTTATAATATGGTGTTGTTTGTAATAGGGGGTAGGGAAGACCATCAATAGGAAACTTGTTAAATTATACTCTATCCATAAAATGGATTATTATTGTTAAAGAAGTATCTTTGAAGTATCTCCTGATTTATGTTATCAATTCCCACCCCTACTTCCACCCTCCCACTCCAAACCTGATGAGCTATCATCAAAGAGAGGCAGGAGAAGGTGGGATCCTATAATAAGATTGGTATAAAAGTTGGCACTGTCAAAAAATGAAGGATGACTTTTGCTGCCATTTGAACAACCACGCTAGCCACCAGCTCACTGAGCTCCTCCTGTGGAGTGAAAAAGATACCCCTATCCTCTATTCAAACTTCTCCTTCAAACTCAAGTGGGAAAGAATTTGCTGGATTGTGGGGAAGAGAAAAGATATGAGATAAGGGTGAAGAGGCAGACAGGAACTACATCATATAAGACTTTGTAAGCAATACTTAACAATTCTTATTTTATTACAATTGCAATTAATGTCGAAAGGTGTTATGTAAAGAAGTGACATGACCTAATCTATATTTTCTCAGACTTTACTCTGATACAGTGTGGCGAAATGATTAAGAGGATATAAAAGAAAATGTAAGAAAAGAAGTACCTATATGATTGCTTTAGTCCTGGTGAGACATGATGGACTAGGGTGAGTAGAATAGTAATGGAGAGAAAAGGATGGATTTAAGGCACATTTTGGAGAAGGCAGTTCTCTAAAATGCTAAAATTGATTATATTACAGAGGTGATATTAAGATTCTTTCCCCCCTCATACTATTTCCCAAGTTCTTAGAAATAATGTTCTTAGATTTGAAATAAAAAGCATTTACTTTAGAATAATTAAACACTAACATAAACAAGTAAAATAAGATACTTCTAAGCAGACTCATGCCTAATACTTGCAGGGCAAAAGTATAAATAAATGAAAGCCTATACCATATCTCTAAAAACTGAAATTTATAAAACAATCTATTAAATAAAATGTTTAATCCACATAACTTGACAAAATAAAAAATATGTGTAAAGCTATGATATTTATATGACTAAAAGTTAAACTTTCAAAGACAATTGAATTTAAGTGTTATTGCACATGTCTGGATAGAATGTTGAGCTGGCAATGTATGGATGGATAATAACATAAAAACACACATAATTTGTAAATTACGGTATGTTCCATAAAATTTACTTTCTTACCTTGACTTCATCAAAATCACAGTTATGTTGTTAAACAACTTTCCTCATAATTTGTGTTATATTGCCAGTAAGGATCTAAAGAATTAAAAATAAAATGTAATTTATTCAAAGTGTATAAAATTTGAAGACACTGCCATGAAAAAACATACATTTAATGTGAAAAATCAAAAATTAAAATTATTTTCATATTTTTCTAAACTGCCCAAAATTATCTATAATATTAAGAAACAATATACAAATTATAATTAACACATTTTAAGTAAAATTAGTATAATAAAGTTGAAACTCATGTAATTTTTTTTTTTTTTTTAAATTTTTATTGGGTAATTGGGGGGATGGGAACAGTGCTGGGGAATTGGGGGAAGGGGAACAGACAAGTTGCTGTCGTTTTGTTCTTCAGTCTAGTTGTGGAGGACGTTGCTTCACTGGCCCAAGTTGGTACCATCATTGCGCTCTTCTCGGGCTAGGCACATCAGTCGCCGGCTTCTGGACGGCCGCTCACTGCGGCTGCTGGCCGCTCACGCTGGCTGCTGGCTACATATGGTAGCCCATGGCAACCCACTGCTACAGGGGCTGCAGCCTACGCCGTCGCCAGCGACTCACGGCAGCCCAGCTCCAGGTTGAGCTGTTGTTCAGCATCTTAGCTGTAGAGGGCAGTGTCACTGGCCCTCGTATGTGGGATCCGAACCGGGGCCCTCTGGCGTCCCAAGCCAGTTCTTAACCATCGCGCCACTCGGCCGGCCCAAAACTCATGTAATTTTTTAAAAAACTAAATCCACTATATATTTCTACAAAAATAAAACTATTTACAATTCTAGGGTTAAAGACTCATCCATTTCCTATGTCAGCAACTAACAATTGCATATGTTATGTCCGGTCCTTCATATACGAAAGTTAAGAGTAACATGAATTGTTTCATATTACAAAACATTCATCAGCTGCCATGGATCAACGTAAACAAACAACAACCTAATCTCTGACTAGAACAACAAAATGAAATAGAGAGAAACAAGAAAATAGTTAGCAGTACTGGGAAATGACAATTCATTATGGAAGAATCCAGTGCATTTATACTAAGTTAATTTATTTGTCTTTTCTCTCACCCAAGAACTTCTGCCACTCAAATCATCGCCATACTCCAAAGCAGTGTCCATAACCAACATCAACTGCCCAAGAACCTTCGTGACATTCAGACATAATCACCTTTTGTTTCAAAGGGATAGGGCAAGTGATGGAGAGACGCGCACCTGGGGCCTGAGTGGTGTTAGTCATTAGAGTAAATATTTGGATTACAAACTGGAGTCTGCCAGTGCTGAGTACTGAATCCCTAATGACACACTTTTTTATTGTTTGTGATATATGAATCATCTAAGTACAAGATCTTATTTGTACTTAGGGACCCCTCTCGCCCAGGTCTTAAGGAGGCACTCTAAGCTTATTAAGTAAATAAGAAGTCATCTAGGAGCTACAAAAATCTAAGGAAAAAACAATTCAAGCAGGTTAATCAAACAGCTTTTTTTGCTTTAAATGCATATAATGAGAGCGGTATTAAGAAAGGCAGGAGTCCTTGACAGAGATAAAGACAGCTGCAGCAGGGTGAGAAAAAAATGGAAAGCCTTTCTTTACCAGGCTTCTGGTATAATCTACCAATTGTAACATGGATGACTGGGACTTTGAGTTTAGATACTCCTTAAATTTTTCGAGATGCTCCTCAATCTTGACTTTCCCTAAACTGGTAAAAATGTGGTAAAAAAAAAAATCACCTAATGTTTTAGTTTACATTTATTTAAATGTGGTTTATAACTAAAATATATACAACTAAAAATAAAGCATATAATACAATGAGAGAAAATATCAAGGCTGCAAGGGCTCTGAAGAGATGGGAGAAGTCACAAGCTTAGTTCTTTCTTTGGATACTTTTATCAACTACATTGTCTGCTGTCCAAGGCGATTGGCCTATAAACTAACTTTTGCAATTAAAACAGTGAATTTTAACTGAGGCAAACAAAACCCCAATGTTCACTAAATTTTAATACAAGTACAGTACAGGATTATACCAAACATCCCCTTAAAAATTATAAAGCGACTCTGGTTTCACCATTTCTCAATTTCTCACACTCATTACAGACTTTCTTTGGTTAACCTATATTATATAATTCTACTAAGAGAAATTCTAAAAAAAAACATTAACTACCACTTACTGAATATCGACTATGTGCTATCATTAACCTTCAAAATAATCCTGCCAGATAGATGGCAATACTCACCTTATAAAAAAAGGACTCAAAAGCTCAGAAACAAGCTCGAGGTGAGCCAGCTGGGTAGTATGGCAGACAAGGTTCAGAGCCAGCTCCATCTGACTTAGGCTGCCTCTCAAAATCTCCACCACCATCACAGACGACTGAGATGATCTCTTAGTATCTACCGATCCTGTGGCCTCTGCTAGTGTTTGCCAGTATTTTATGTATGGAAAAGATTCTTGTTTTTCAATAAGCCTTGTAGTCTTCCAAATTTTGTTACTCTCTATACTTCAAGTACAAACAGGTGAGTAAGTAATGGGGACACCACTAAAAGGTGACTGGGTTAAGAAGAGGTATGGGCCCTGAACTCCTGTGACCACATCTACTCTTCAAGTTCCTACAGAGAAGACTGGCATCCACTCCTGTAGTGCACACCCCTTCCACCCTGGCACCTGCTCTACCCAGTCTAGCAAGGGTCTCAAGTAAGACACAGATACGTAATTTCAATGTTGTTGACTGCCTGAGAATTTTGAGTTTTTATTAGTTTGGTGTATTGGGTGAGGAAATAGAATTAATTTGCACAGCTTAGTTCCAAAATCTGGGGTTCTATCATTGAATCCTTGGGATAGGAAATATTTCAAAGTGTCGCTAGTCTATCCCGTAAGCGATGTCAAAATATCGTCAACCACACTTGATATTCTACAATCTTGTTTCTCAAAGCCTTCAAACACTTTCACTGTAAGGAAATATTTCTTATATTTAATCTAAATCTCAACTTTTTCAGTCTTTTGTAACAATGAGAAATAGCCTCCTTCTTGTAATAATTTTACAAGAGGGCTTTTCAGACCCCACTTTTATTTAAGCAGCTCAGTTGTCAATTTCAAAATGGCTGATGAAAATCTTACATAATAATCCACACTTTCCTGGGGAACCTGGGGTTAATTTTAATTTTAAAAGCATTTTATTAATCTCATAAATTATAGCAAAATTAGGAATAAAATCCGTCTTTTAACTGATAATAAATTCTCTAATAACAATCACTAATGTTTACTAATAATTTTACAGGAATAATTAACTCAAATGTCTGATTTTGGCAAAGCAATTTTTAAAAAGTGTGTGTGTGTGTGTGTGTGTGTGTGTGTGTTTGTGAGTGAGAGAGACAGAGAGAGAGAGAGAGAGACAGAGAGAGAGGAAGACAGGAAATGCCACAGATTTTCAAAAGGCACTCTTATTATCATCTCTACAAGATGACTAAAAGTGACATTTTGAACACTTCTTTTAAACAGCTCCATCTAATATCACTGCTACTGAAATTTCTGACTCCTCCCTTCTGGTTCTTCAGTGGCCTCAGATCCTACTGGATTCCAGAGCTCAATCCTTCGTGTGATAATATCAACTCTAGGGAACAGCTTCTGAAATGAACCTATAGATTTCTGGTGGATAAATAAGCCAAAAAGGAGAGGGGGATGTTGTGACTTGGAGAGGTGGCAAATATGTCATCATTAGACAGAGAAACTTAAAAAATAATCATGGAAATGAAGAAAGAAAACATGTAGAAGATGAAAAGAATAGCAATACAGCTAGAAAATTTCCAACAGGTAAGAAACTGGGAAACAAGCCTCTAAAATGCTACAGAAAAATCTTGCAAATGTGTTTTTCAAATGTTTATTTCATGTTAAAATAATCCAGCTTTAAAATATGTGAAGATTCTTTTATTTTCAATTATTTTTATTTTTATTATTAGTTTCAGTTGTAAAAAACAACAGTGAAAATATGTAAAGATTATTAAAAATTAGAGGTGTGGTGCTAATTATACCAGATGTCTTCGTGCTTATGTGACCTGTAGAACAACCCCATAGCTTTAGAATGCACTGTTGTATATTATCAAAAGAAATCACCAAATGCTAGTCTTGGCACAATGGGATTTTAATTACTTTTTATTTATCTGTTTGCAAATAGACTTAAAAACCTGGTATGATTATTTTCATTGGCAGAGTTTAGCTCTCCTTTCTTGACATATTTAATGTGTTGTTATTTTAAAGAATTAAAAACCTCAACATCCCTATAACGACAAGCTCAGTTATTAGCCTTCACAGAAAATTAAAGCCAATTCAGACAATATTCTGTGTTGGCTTGATTTTAAAAGAAACTATTAGATTTTGGGAGATAAAATGTATACATTTTCCACTAACACTTTATATGGACTTAGGCAATTGTCAAATTCAAGGAAAAACAGATATACATCTCCAGCAGAGAAAATCAAAGTACATGTAATAAAATAACAGATGAGTCAAATGTTATCCCCAAATCTTGAAAGACAGCACACACTTCTGCAATAGATAAACATGAAATTCTATTTTTTAGAATAGGTGAATAGTTGAATAGGGTAAGGAGTTTGCATGATGTAGCATAACCAGGCCAATTACATTTTTTAGTAAGACTCTTGAGAGAATAGGCTTTTGTTTCTTGGTGTTTTTCATGGTTACTTAACATAGTACTTTGTTCTCACAGAAAGCTGTAAGATGCATCTTTACAGAGATTCTAGTTCTATTTGTTTTCATGAAGCACCAACGATTAATTTAATTGATTTTTTAATTGATAAAAAAACTAGAAATATTACTTTGTATATGGTTTAGAAAGTAGAAGTCTTATTCCTGGCTCTGCTACTAACTACACAACCATGAAAAGGCCAGTAGGTCTTAGTGGCCATGACGTAGTTGTCTACTCTAGAGAGAATGAAAGTTTCATTCCTACCTAGAGTACAGGACTGCTGCAGAGATCAAGTAAGACAGCCCACCTTGTCAGCACTTCAATTCTTGAGTGAATTAATGAATG